CTCTCTCTCTCTCCTTTTTTCTTTTTTCAGTGTATCACACGGAGCTGTAATGTTTTGTTGGTAGACATGTTAATAAAGAAGGGTTCAAAGTCAAAAGTCAACTCTCTCACTCTCTCACACTCTCACACTTTCTCACACACACACACACACACACACATTGTGATATAAAGACTTGTCTGCCTGGTCCCTGCTGCTCTTACAAAGGAGAAGTCTATTAACGGTGCATGCTTGATGGGCACATAGCAGATTAACAGCCAATAACAGGTGAGCTGTATAGAGCTGCACATGTTGTACTCTGTACACTGTAAAATGTAATCGCAGCCACTGACATACTGAAAACAACCGGACATCCAAACGTCAATGACATTCTGATCCCTCCATGTACAAAAGCACACACAGTAAAGAAGACAGTTTCACATACACACGAGAGGTAAGGGGAACAAAACAAAAACAACAAAATCTGACAAAAGAAGGGAAAAAAAAACATTTAATTAAACTTCCACATTTCAGAAATCTATCTCTGTATATTAAAAATACCTTTATTTTACCTCATTAAATACTACTATTCAGAGCAATGCAGTCACACTTAGCATCTTCGTTGGATGCAGGATTTAATATTCTCTCTAAGGAGAAGCTATGGTGTGTTATTTTCAGGCTCCCACTACTGTGCACTGAGTGCAAATACAGGATGGATTTACTCATGCTTTTAGCCAGACTGCTGAATACTGATAACATAACTGGCAGTTGAACTTACTGTATAACCACAAAACACATTCTGTGTAATTGTGCAGTTTCTTTAATTTGAAATAAGTTAGGTAACTGTTTCTGTTTGTTTTATTTAATAATGCGAACAATGCAGCCTTTATACAAAAACCTTATACAAAAAGCAAACCTTGGATCTTGGATTCAAGAATGGATTTTGAATAAGGTATCAGTGATGATTTGCATTGTGACTGTGAGATCTAAACTGAATCGTATTGTAAAAATAGGATACACACACAAACACAAGACACACACACACACTGGTTTAAAGCTGCCTATCACTCTGACATCTTACACACAGACAGTCATTGTGTCAGTGGCCAGTTCATTTGAGGACAGCTGAAAATCATGCCACCGCAGACCTCACCTCGTTCATTACAATTACAGACTAAAATGTCCGGGCTAAAATAGATAACAGCCCCAAATATTTTAACAATTTGATTAAGATCTGTTTGAAACTACAATGCCACATACTATTCAGAGAGATTTCTAAAGCTCAGGATGTCCTTCTAACCCAATGACATTAATCAGGGAATGTCATAAATGGATTTGGTTTGATTAGGAGAACGTTGATGCTCTGTTTTTGGGGGTGGGATGGGGTGGTGTGTGTGTGGTGGGGGTGGGGGTTGGGGTTTGACTGAAATCTAATAAAAGTAAGCATCGTCCCACCTGCTCAAAGCCATTCCTTTGAAATTCTTCAAACCCAAAGATGTCCAAGATCCCAATTTCCAAGGAAGGATCACTGAAAGAAATGAACAAGTAGAGAGCCTATTTATTGTATTTCAGGATCAGGATTGTGTCACTCTGACAGGACTTATCATGTTTGTGCGTGTGTGTGTGTG